CTGGTTCATGTCATTCAAAAAGACTGTTAATAGACTAGAGACTATTCAGAGGAGAAGGCAAAAGAATAAATAAAGGACAAGAACACCATACCTTACAGTGGAAGTCTCAAGGCATTCAAGGCAAGCTAACTGGGAGCTTAACTGGGAGGTTGGTCACTATGGAGTGACTGGACGGCAGGCTACACAAAGCTATAACAAAGGCAGAAATTTGGTAACACGGACTTCCTTCACCTTGCAGAAAAAGTTACAAATGTCTGCAATTTAGAGTTGGATATCTTTTGTTTTAATTTAGCGGGGGTAATAATTTATTAATTTAACTCTCTACCTAACAGGTGGGTGTGTTTTTCCCTCACTGTTAGCAGCAAGACTGGATGCCTCTCTAAAATGTATACTTCACAGAATCACAGAATGGTTGAGGTTGGAAGGGACCTTTGGAGATCATCGAGGCCAACTCCAACTTGAGCAATTAAACCAAAGCAATCCTATCACCTGAGATACTCAGCTCAGTCCAGATATCAGAGTGGTCCCATCTGGCTTTCTTGTTTTGATAAGACCTTCAAACTCTACACATGGCAAGATCTGACAATGAAGGAGACAATCCAGTAGCTATTTCAACACATCTCCCTGAGAGATGCATAAATCCACGCACTACGCAATGGAAAAAAATTCAGATTTTACAACTTACTTTATTCCAGGTAAAAGTTCTGGATAATTTGCATATTTAGTTTCTTCAGAAAGATCTGGTCAGAGTGGGTAAGGAAGTATGGCTGGAAAACCATTAGGATGGATCAGTCAGAATTATACCATCACCTCTGGAAGGATTTGGGTTTTTTCAGGATAAAACCTACCTTTAATGAACGTAACAAAAAGAGATTACTTAACGATGGGCTGAAGTTCCATACACTGAGCTGACACCTCCGCTGTTGGAACCAGGACCTTCCACACGAAAAACTCTGTGCTGAAATCTGTCAAACTCTTAATGTGCTTTTTTATACATACAAGCAAATTTTGCCAGTGGAGCTTGTTGCTAAGACACTGTGGGATCAGATACTGGGGAAAAACATGCTCAGTCACAGATTTCACTCACTGAGGTGGAGAAAGCAAAGAAACACCATCCAATTGGAATGTGGATCTCTGTTTTTCTCAGTTAGGCACCATCCTCAGTAGAAACTAGACCTGCTACCAACAAAGATCCCTTCCCCTAAAGGAAAAAGCCATGATGGCAGCTGCCTTTAAGAAACACAGGAAGTGTTTAAATACTTTTGATGAACAATATCATCTAGTTTCTTTCATGATAAAAAAAAGTAACTGAACAGATAGGCTTGGTGAAATTCCTTGAGCATCTCATATGTCAAGGTGCAGCAAGGACTCACTGCTTCCTCAGGGACAGGGAGCCAGGAGCTGAGCACAATAATGCAGTTAGCAAGCAGCCAAGGGCCCCATCCCAACGCTCCTGCACGAGATGGTGGCCAGCTTCAACCAAGAGTCCAGATCATCAGGCAAGTTTGTGGCGATGAGGTAAGTCTGCGGTCAAGCTGGGAAGTCAATCCACAGGTCAAGATCAGAATTAGGTCCGGTGAGGGTAATGAGGGTCAGATAAAACCCAGGGATTGTCGCACAGGTCCGTAGTGCCAAGACAGGGCCAACGTCAAGCCAGGAAGTCAGTCCGTGCGTCAGGGTCCATCCAGATCAACAGGGTCCGTGGCCAGGCACAGGCATAGCTGTGGCTGAGCTAGAGATCAGCGCTCCTGTAGTGTAGCTGTGGCAGGAACTGAGGGTCCCGGGCTGAGCATGGGCTTCTGGACCCATGCACAGGCGGTATGTGTGGAGGCCCCAGATGAGGCTGGTGAGCACCATTTAGGCCTATTAGTGCGTTCAAGGTCCTGACATTGTGTCAGCTTTTTGTCCTGAAAGCAACAGATGTGGATAGCTGTGGAGATTTTAGAGCTCTCAGTACACACTTCTGTGATTGTGGAGTCTCTTTCTGTATCTGCAGTTACCAGGAGAGGATGCGGTGAGCATGCACTCCTAAAGCCTAGACTTGGCAAGCTGAAACCCACTCTCGGGGGCTTTTCTAGCCAGCCCACGTTCCAAATGCACTAGTTTTTCTCTGCACTGCAAGCACACAGTCTAAGAGCATCAACAATAGCACAGCCATCTCCCAATGTGGTTGAATCAGTTCCATCTTACAAAGCAGACAGAGCCTTGAGGAAGTCTGAAAGAGGTCTCTGAACCTTCCCATGTGCATTTGCGTTCAGAGACTTTTCTAAAATCGGGACAAGGAAAATGCCTACAGTCCAGTTTGTTGGAAAAAGCCTCCAATATCTTTCTTAGAAAGGATGAATAGGACTCTGGTGACCATGACTGAAAAAAACAGCACAGGGATATGTATTTTAAAAGAGTAATAGCCCAATTCTAAGCGTACGGAAGTGCCCCTTCTCCTCACTAACAAAAGATAATTTTTGAAGGAGACATTTGGCATCAACAATTCCAGGGACCCCCCTAGCAGAGCTCTTTTCCAGAGAGCAGGTATCCAGCAGCACTGACCAAAAATTATCCTGGAAGGCCCCATGGACCCTGCAAAATATGAGTCCTTGTTTAGCCCCTTCCAGTAATTTTTAATTCATTATGGCAGAAAACCAGAAAGATAAACTCTGGAGGGCAAGCATGGACTCAAGCAGACAGACCCAGAAAGTTAGACTGGTAATACTGAAGCTCTTTCCTCACCTGCTCCCACTAACGCTAATGTTTCAGCATTTGCCTCATGATCACAGGAACAAGGGTAAAGACAGAGTCTTAGCTTTACTACTTCTGATTGTTAGGGGACAAGAAAAGCCAGTTTTGCACTGCATCAAAAGCTCGTTTTTTTACAGCTACCTCACAGGACCTTGGTTTATAGGAAGAGCAGAGTATGAGCAGTAGAAAGGCAAGCATGTACTGGCCAGCCTGTCTTGGCAGCTGTAAATCATAAACCTGACTGGTCATGGCAACCAGGAGAGCACAAAACGCTGGCTCTGGCTTGCAGCAGAGGGCAGCTCCTTTCTCTTTTGCAATGGCAAATACAGAAACCACGGTGCAAGAATGGCATCTACCCTAGTCTTCAACAACGTGCCTCCTCCTCCAACATCCATGGCTACCGGGGAATCCACCACTTCCTGCATGATAAATCCCTGCCCAAGACAGGAGAGGTCCTGACTCCTTAACCCTTCTTTAGGGCCCAGGTTTCAACGCAGCAGCTCTCCTATACCTAGTGAAATGGCTTTTTGCGTTCCCAGATATGAGAGTCTCAGATTGCCCTAAATGCAGGCCTGCAGCAGCCAAAAATTGGGCATCAGGGTCACAGCACAAGCCCTTAGCCTCATGCTGGGTAGATGACCCATGGCACTCTGCACAGAAAGAAGGGCAGTGTCTGCGTAGTCCATCTGTAACTGCAGTCAGGCTCACATGAATGTCTTCAGGCGAGTAACTCTCACAGAAGACTAGTTGTCTTTTTTATGCTGATAGCCTGGGCTGGAACCAGAAGCTGCAGCCTACTGCAGATGCTTGGGAAGGTGGGGAGATATCCTTAGCGATAAATCCTCCTGAAATGGGGCATACTGGGAAGATAAGATTCTGTTCTTGTTGAGCAGAGCTTCTATGCACGTTCCTCACAGCACACTGCTCCTTAGCCATACAACTGCCAAGTCTCCTTCATTTATCTGCACAGAGTTGGACTAAAGTCACTAGAGCCTTGGTGTTTGAGGGTCCATCTTTACTAGGAGATTGACCTACTGCTGATCACCACCATCAGGTTTCCTCAGGACCTGCAAACACCTGCATTAAGAACACTGTCTACATTGGGAGGTGGAGGTTGAGGGCATAAGGATGTTTAGGAACGACTGCAACACGTGCAGTCATAGGCACCAGGTCAGTTTCCTTGGATAGATGGGAGATAAGAAGATTAAACCTGATGTTGGTCACAAAGGCAGTCTGTGCCCCACACCTTCTTCCATCATCCCAGTCCACCTCCATGCTCCAGAGAACCTGCAAGGGATCTGTCAGGAGCTACCAAGACTTGGTTACCTTAAAAGTGATGGTCTGGTGGACTATGTTCCCACTTTATTTCTATGTATGTGTAAAACCCAAACTGCCTTATCATAATAACTTTAAAACCTAACTAAAGCTGAATTTAGCGAGGGAGGAGCATGCGCTCCCTCTGCTGGCTGCAGATGATCAGCTAACGAAGCCCACTAAGCTAACAATCTAAATTCATCTGTCCTCATCATCAGCCACAATGCCGGCAGCCAGACAGACACGAGCAAAGAGCAACCATGCTGGCTCATACCATCAAAATTGCAATGCAGCACAGGGTGATGCTATGAAAGAAGTGTGAAGTTCAGGTGCAAAGAACTTCTCTGCTTGCTTTTAAAGCATCCAAAACCAGCATGTAGCAAGAATTTCTCTCAATTGTCTTACTATAATTTTGCAATGAATTACACTTAATTGCTCATTATAACCTCCCCTTAGTCTTGGGAGTGCAGACTGTAGTATCCCTCCAGAGTGCAGATTGTAGTGTCGTGCAGTATGCTGAGGACTGCCTTTTCCCGAGCTCCCTGAAATAAATATTTCATTGCCTGTGATTTAGTAGCAAGCTGCCACAGTAATTTACATGATTTTGAAAACCAGTTTGAACTCACTGTCTGCAACAGTTTCTCAGAAGCTTGTAAGAAAGATGCTTCTCCTCTAGCATGTGTGTTCACTCATTATTTAGGGGAGTCTAGAAAAGTGTGTGCATTGGTTTGTTAAGTGCACTTTAGGTACTAGAACTTTCAGTTAAACAATAAAGTAAAACATAAAACCCCCAAGGAACACATGAAGAATTGCACGGATTTTGTTAAAAATGCAGTGACTTTATGGACCTAACTAACAGTTAGGTTACAGTCCCACAGGGTCCAATGGAAGGATCCACAAGAAGGATAATCTCTACTGCAACCCTCATGTTTATCACCAACCACTGTAAATCACAGTTCATAATGAAATAGATCTCCATCAGGATACTCACTAATAGGTGCATGTAGCGCCACATGTTCTTGGTAGGGAGTGTAATATTTGTACTGCTTGCCACAGAATTCACAGGTGTAATTGCCAGTTTCTGTGAAGATGAAATTAAAAGAAAACAAAACAAAAAAAAATTAGAAAGGAGTGCAGCATCACTGCAACACAATCATTGACTTCTTACACAGGAACTAGCCCGGTGATAACACACAAGAGCATCCTCCCCAAGCACTGGGAACTTATTTGCCCTACAATTCACACATTCTTTTCCCTAACAGCGGAAATAATTAAAGCCAGTGTCCAGAAAAAGTCCAGTAGAACTCAACAAGTTACAGAGGTTATCCCAAAATTACACAATAGATAAGCGTGTAAAATAAAGGACAGAATCCGCTTCTAAAGTCTATACTACAGATGACATAGTCTTGTCTTCTGGTTACAGACAGCCAGTGATGCATGGACCACAGGAACGATCAAATCAGGAAACAGAATTCTTAGCTGTGACTCCTAATCACAGAACTTTTTATATTACAACTGCAGCTTTCTCTTGCAGAAGGAAGGGCTTTTCTGCAACAATTGTGCTAATTCCTGCTTCGGGGGTACTTGAAATAATGCAGTAATGTAATCATGTGATGGCATGTCCTGTTCCAATTAATGCTAGAAAGTGCAGAACCGACAGCAAGCTGCAAACCAAAGTAAAATGCAGGGCTAATCAACTGTTTCCAAAATGGAGGCGATTTCAGAGAGGTGCCTGGGAAAAGTCTGGTCCGTTCTTTGTTTCACTCTGATCTGTTTGATGGATGCACCACGGAGACAGCGTGCAGGCAATCACCTGACAACTCTACCAACACATCTCAAGACCCCCTCTGATCGCTGCCAATTTGCTATTCTCCTGAACCTCTTCCCTCTTCTCTCTGTAGAGCTCTTGAGCAGAAAATAACACAAGTTGCATTTCTTAGGGCCAGGGCTGCTGCTGTTTGGTGCTCATTTGATACTAGACATATCCTTCAGCAACCCTGAGGTTCCAACAGCTCCGCATAATGCGGTTCTCTCTGTTTTCACAGAGACACTCCAGTTAATGCCAGGCTGGAAACCACTTGTGCTGTCTCTTTAACCTTTGAAGCTGTATAACAACTCATACTTGGACCAATCTTCTGAAACGGTTCCGGCTCCTCCTCCTTCACTTCATCTGCTGCTATGACGGCCTGGTCATAGGGGTCTGCAAGAGAACAGAACCAGCAGAGAGCTGACAACATCCCCAGGTTTTCCTTCTACAGCTGCATGGGCACTGAATGCTCCTGCATCTGTAATGACATTTCAATCTGTAACAAGATTTCGAGGCACGAGTTACAAACCCAGTGCCCGCTCTATCTGACTTGTCCCTCCTCCTCCTCCTTGGGTGCCCCAGGCAGGTATTCCACCCCCCTCCCCCAGCCCAATAACATGCCTTGCAGATAATTAATGTTAAAAAATAAAAAAAAAAGGAAAAGGAAAACAGAGGAAGACTGAAGAAACACATTTCGAAGCCTGATTTATATTTTCTGATTTTCTTCCAGTGCATCTCCCATCTAAAGATGTTATTCTGTCTGAACGTAGGCACAGTAATGCAGTCTGCAAGCAAGTCAGCTAACAAATACTGATCAGTGGCGTTCTACCATCTAACAGCACAGCTAGCAGCAAATCAGAACCCAACCCATTTTATAAAATAATTTAATTTATGCCTTGAACAATTCACTAAATCACCAGAGACATGAAACACCTGTTTCTCTGATTTTCAGAAGCCTGGTCAATTGTAGGTACAACAAAAGCCTGGTATCTACTAGGGCTGGGCATCAACCTACTGGCTGTACACACTGAAGGAGGAGGGAGAGAGGATGCTCCTCTCCCACTGGAATCTGTGACAAAATTTCCTTGACTCTTACACGTATAGAATCGGGCCTGCTGTGCCTGAATTACTGAATGCTTGAAAAAGTTTGTGAAATAAAGCACACAAAGGATCTCGGCTTACCTGCCCGGTTTTCTGGGGCCCCTTCCACACTAAAAACTAACACAGAATAGAAGAAGGAGGGGAAGAAACAAAACAAAAATTAAATCCTCTTTAACAGCCTTGTTTTCCTCCTGTATTTCACACACTGCTTCAGCATATTTGAGCCCCACAGATAAGCCAGGCTTTTTGCCCCAGTCCCTCCTCTTCCCAGCAGCATCCATACAGGAACTACATGAGCATGCCCAGCCCTAATACACATAGATCCTCAAGGCCTTTGTCCTAACCCTGACACAGCCCCATGTGGAGTACAGATGCACACCTGCCTTACACTTGTGTTTGCTGAGATGCAAACAGCCCTTTGGAGGAATCCAGACAAAAAGTGTCTTTGCAACAAGACAAGAGCGGAAGCCACTTCCAAAGCTGTGGCCCTCTCGTAACCCTAGGTAGAGCTCCCTGAACCATAGCTATGAAGACACGTTTCAGACAGGAGCAGACACATCCATCTCACAATGGCTTTCAGTCCCAGTAACTTAATTTTGGCTGCCCAGCAGGAGGAATGGAGCTTGCAACGGTGCACTGCAAGAGCTGTATTTAGAGCATGTTTAGATATTCATACATTCCAGTTAAAAACAGCAAACCTTTCTGGACAACGCTTGTTGTGCAAAACGCACGCTTTCCTGAGAGACCGCAGCCACTCAACATCATCTGCTTTCCAAGCAGCCTAAAGCTGAAACTCTACCAGCCTTCCCTCTCTGGCCACGTAAGAAGCCATACTGATAAGCCTGGAGCATACACAGCCAGGGTTCACAGTATCTGTGGGCTCCAAGTAAGGGAGCTTTAGATGTCCAGCAAGTGTATGCAGGCAAGCCAAAGACAGTAAGTTGCTTCTACTATTTCCCTCACTTTAGAAAAAAAGAAACACACTGCTTCTGGAGGGGGGTGTCTGCTTCTGTCCGAGTGTCACCAGCCTAGAACATAGCTACTTTCACATAGGAAAAACTGGCCTGTAAAGTCCACTGACAACTCTATCAGTTCCCTACCACAGTGATCAACAAGAACGAATCAACATTTCTCAACTCTGAAATGTGGTTTCTCATAGAAAAGCACGTTAGGACCAATCCTGTGAAGTCAGAAACCAAAACGCCACCAAATCTTGTCCAGCCACTCGCCAGACTGACAATTTACCTTGAAGCATTGAGCTACAGCATATCCCTCTTAACCATGAACCTTAATACAGACAGGAGGACTGCAAGGACCGCAGGTCCCAGCAGAGGGTGTTATTCCGATGCACGCGAAGAGAATCAAGCATAGCAGACTTCTCCCTGCGGTTATCCGCAGACTGTGCCTCCACTGTAAAAGGCGAGCAATGCTGTGTGATGCCCTGTACATCATGGGCACCGCGGTCCTACAGAACCACGTTTTGCCTTCCCCAGAGTATCTCAACAACTACTTCTCACCCTAATTTGACTAAGTGTCGAAACAGTACTCACCATCCACGGCATGTAGGTCTCTGTGCTCTTGGAAGCAGCTATAATATTTATATTTTTTCCCACAAATGTCACACGTGTACCTAAAATTGTCTGTAGGAAGAAGAAAACAGGCCACTTTAGAAACCTTGAGGAAGGAGTAAGCAATCCAGACGACGCTGCTGAATTAGACACCCCCATGCAATTACACTCTTCCCACATGCTCTCTCATACTTCTTAGGCACTCAGACAACCACTGCTTCATATCTACCCCAGCGTGCACGACACTATATAGCTTGAGGCATATTCTGATTTTTCATTTCATAGTCAGGCAGCTCTGCTCTCCAGGAAAGCTTGTAAAAAACCACACAGCAATGAAGACGCAGAGCCAGCAGGCACCTCTGAAATCTCTTTTGGAAGCTCAGGACTGCAGTATGAAAGTGCTGGTCAGCATAGGGATGAACTGGCAGAACTAAACACAGTGTCGAGATCTGAACTGCTAAGAGGCCACCAAAGTTGTAATGTGCCAGCTGAGATATGGACTGGATGTGTCTGCTTGCTCATACTATGCTTGGTTCTCACTGCTACTGATTACTAATCACTGTGTATAGTCATGAACGTATAGTCATGCTGATCATGTGCAGTTACATAGATCATGCATAGGCTACAACAGGAACGACCTTAAAAAACATTGTTCAACGAACAGCGGGACTGATGAAGCCTGGTTTCATACAGATTTGTACCCTAGACTCCCTCCTGCTACCCCAGCAACAGCAAATACCCTTCCCCACAGCCACGTTCCCCGTCTTTTCATTCCCCATTGAATCCTCCATTCCTCCAGATGTACATGTTCCCTCAAAACATCAGCTCCTTCCCACGTTCCTCCTGCTCCTGCTGACCACCCAGCAGCCCATGTTCTGCCCGGCTCCATGCCACCTAAGCATCCGTTGGTCAGCTGAGACATAACTACAGGCTTTCCATCCTCAGGAACCCTACCTGGGTCTTTGTTCTCTGCCTAGATGCCTACAGTCACCACTCTTGTAGAAACACGCTGTGTTTGGAGACTTCTAAACTTCTGTGAAATTTGACTGGAATTCACCACAGGGGTGGACTGACAGACTAGACAACTGCACAAACCTTGTTCCTTTTGGAAATCAGACTACAGGCCCAAAACGCCTTCAAAAGCAGAGTTTTATTCCCCCTGCAGCTCTAACAGTGCTATCTCTTAACTGATCTTTGGAGCAGATGTAATGAGCTTTGCAATGTTAGCCATGTTGCTTTTTATTCCTTTTAGATCTGCTGTGTCAGGATAATAACCTTCCAGCAGATCCCTTGGGAAGCGCCAGGGAAATGCCACCAGCACAGCTCAAATTTCACAGAGGACAGGATCGAGCCTGACTTGTGGTGGTGCAGGGGAGGAAAGAAAGTTATGCTCAGGCTTCTGTCACAGTCTACACGGCTGGCAATGTCGGGGTGGGGGGAATAAGAAAGAGAGATGCAAACATCTTGAGATGTTTATGAATTCTCTGCATCTGAATGGGGACAAGGAGTGTCTCTGGCTCAGTTATCACACCACAGTAAGAAGAAATCTGAGCCTGGGTGCCATAAATCAGAGAACACCTTTGCTTGTCAACTTGGTGGTTTTTCTCCTTCTAATGTCTGACACACCTTGGAGTTCAGACTGACAACCTAAGTAATCATGCCACTGCAACTTGCAGCACTTTATTTGTCAGCTGGCCACAGTAGCTGATAGCTGGCATGCTATAAGTCTGTTATAAAGGAAAACACATCAGCTTGTGTAGCCATGAAGGATCATAATCTAATGTGTTTAACTTCAGAGCAGGAGCAAGAAGCTAGGACTGCTGTACCTAACACTTATTGTGACTCCACAGATGAGTTGCCATTTCGCAAGTTGCAACATTTCAGTTGTTTGTTTTCATATAACCATATGATTAACAAAGTTAAAGCCCTGTTTGTTTTTAGCTCTTCTGCCAGTGTGTTCAAACACACCAGAGCTGCACATTAAGCAAGCTTTTATTTTACATCTTAATAATTTCATTTATTAAAGAAATAAATATTTAAAACTATTACGCATTAGTACAGGCTAAAGGCTCACTTGGGTTCATCACTGCAATCCATCAGCATACAGACTTTCAACACTGAATGAAGAATCACTTTCCACCCCTTTATTCTGTTAGACAGAGTGAAAGTAGAAACTGTGGTGATCTATAACAAAAAAATGCCAAATATAGTAAGTGTTAAACAGCTGGGCACGAGAACTCGACTTCTGCCACCAGAAAAAATATCTGTGTCTTAATCAGAGCACAGCAGCGCTAACCTAGATCTAAGAGATTTTTAAAAGTCCCAGCTCAACAAGCGAGACAGAGACCAGGTCCATAGAGCCCGATGAAAAGGATTCTCTGCCTCAGACACTGCACTGCTTAAAGGAAGAGGAGGAGGATTAGCAAAACATTTCCGTAAGAACATTCAAGTGATAAAAGCACCATGTTTCCTTACATAGTCTTACATACTCTACTTCTGTGGTCATGTAACAGTGTTGAATCTCTAGATCTACCCAGCAGCTTTTTCAACAACAAAAATAATCTAATTATTGCTAGTGAGCATCTGTGTATCCTTTGCAGAAAAATACAATCAATCTTAGCAGAGAAAATTCATAACATGCCATCAGTAATCGGTCCCACACAACTGGGCAGCCTAAGAACAGGAAACCAGCCGCCTTTTTCAAGTGTAATGAGCCAGGTGCTT